CTGGTGGGCTGGGCTAGATCCAGCTCAAGCTAGCTGATGGGAGCGAGCTCTCTGCCTGCTATTTGCAGTCTTTCTAGGGAAGGGGGCTGTCGCTTCTCTACCTGCCTCTTCTGCTGCCAGGGCAGGTCCTGGTGGGGCTGTGACCACGTGGATCACAGCCATGTGACACCAGGGATAGCTGGAGATTGGTGAGTAGCCAGCCCCAGTGGTTTAGTTTCATTGCAATGGGCAGCTGTTAGTGGGTTTTTTTGGGGGGTGGTGGTGAGTTCACTAGGTACCATTAGAGAGCCAACTTTACTTGATCTCTCGAATGCCCACAGTTTCTTTTTAGCAAGGGGAGTGGAGAGGATGGTAGCCTGCCAAGCCATGCAACATTTATAAATTGTTAGAACAGTCAAAGGGTCAAAGATCTTAAGATATTTTCTTGATTCTTGGAAGTTATACTCCAAGCAGAGCCCATGCCAGGGTCAGGCTGTCTGGCTTGCCCCCATCACTCCTGCTCTTTTAGAAAACAGGAAATTCCAGTCCCTGCAAGGGAAAGTGAGTTGCTTCAAGTCCCAGGACTGGAATGTAGGTACATGTTCCAAAGTCCAGCCCAGTTCTCTGCCTTTCGTACCTTGTCCTCAGCTGGAGATGGAATTCAGGTGAGTGTGGGGATGCAAGGAAGGGGTTGTCTGGACCCACACGTGGTGCATCTACTCTCCTCATTGCCTCCAGGAACCTCCAGATATTAGGGGCACATGGCACTCACAGAAAAGACAAACCTCTTCTAACTGGCAGGCGGTGGGAGGGAAGAGATCACCCCAGGTTCCATGACAACTCAGCTGCAAAGCTAGGGCTTAAATTCGGCCTCTAGGTCTCCCATTTATGCTCCCTACCGCTCCACCTCTCATGCAAACCCACATGTGTGGTCACCCTAACAGCCCTGTTGGAGCTCAGTAACAGAGAGCATGCTCCAGCGACTAGAACACAGACAGCTGCCGAGCAGGTGCTGGGGAAGCAGGGAGTGTTGGGGGGAATCCCAGCCTCAGGGAGCTGGGGGGCACTGGAAGGAAGCACAGTCGTGTGTTACTAAGCACTTGGTGGCCCAGCCCTGGTTAAGCAAAAGGGTTCCAGGGTTTTGAGGTCAGCCTGGGTTTTGAGGTCTTGCCCCAGTCCTTGCTGGCTGTGCAATCTTAGGCAAGACAGTAAACCTCTCTGTGCATCAGTCTCCATGCCTATATAGAGATAACAATGATCCCCGGGGCTTGTTGTGAAGAGTGTGGGTGAGTCAGGGAGCCTCCTGCCCAGTGCATAGTACACCGATGTCTGTTCTTTTCACTCTGACAGACGCTTATTTATATGAAGTGAGGCAATGAAAAAACCAAACATGATTGAAAACTTGTCTACCAAATTTCTCAAGTGCCTGGAAGAACTGCCATTTGGTGGGTGGGATATTGGGAAGGCCTGGGAGTGAGACCAAGGTGACAAAAATCTCCCTGCAAAATAAAGTCGGTAGAATTTAGATTCCTGCAGAATTTATGAAGAGAAGTCGTGTGCATGTGTGTGAGGGGTGGACATGTGGAGTAGAAGGACATAAGAACAGGTAGGAAGGAGGGTGGGTCAGTATGCTCTCCCTGGCCCACAGTCCCGGCTGAGCCCCAGGAGTGGTTCACTGAGTCTTAAGCACAGCGGAACCACTGCGAGGTGGCTGCTGGTGACCAGTGTCCTGGCCGGGAATAGGAAGCTTTAGTCTTGGGACTGAGAAATCCTTTCCCTGCAGAAGGGCTTGGTTTTCCTTGGTTTCCCTGTAGCTAGTTGTCATGCTGTGCTTAGTTGCTTTAGTGTTCATACATGACCATGCATCCCGGGCTCTGGGCTGCTGAGGCTTCCTGCTGATGGGGGACAGTTGCCATCAGCTGGCGGCACAGGGCTCCCTGGAAAGTGTGTGGCTTCTGCCCTTGTCCACTCCAGTGACCAGCCACATGCTGCCTCTGGAGCACCCTCCTAGGAGTTCCTGGGAGTGGGTTCCTCTCTACTCCGAATATCTTCCGATGGCTTTTCAGAAGGGACAATTGACTGCTTGTGCCTATTTAAGGTGGGCTGCAGATTGCCTCAAGGTCACTGTTAGACTTTTTCTTATATATTTACATATTAAACAATAGAATTATCATAAAGAGTCGAAGCTCGAAGGACTTTCCAGTTCATTGAGTACATTGCCTTTCCGTTACCGACGAGGCCTGGAGAGGGAAGACTCGCCCAGAGAAACAGCCTGGAGAGAAGGTCAGTTCTGGGGACCGAGTCTTCCTCAGAGGTAACATGCTTCCACCTCACCCTCCTACCACGCCTGCAGCTCGCCAAGTGAAGGGACCAGTAGGCTTGCTCTGAAAGCAGGAGAACGCCAGGGACCACACGCAGCGGGTCACGGACATTTACGGCTGACACACAGCATGCAGGGAAACAGAGGGGAGCCTTGGGTTTTGCTCCCTGCTCTGCCGGAGACCAGTTTCAAGAAAGACCTTATGACCTGTCAAGCCTAAAATATTTACTATCTGGCCCTTTATGCCAAAAAATCTGCTGGCAGCTCCTTGGATGCCCTTAGGCAAGTCACCTTGATTGCATGGGCCTCAGCTCCTCATCTGCAAAATGGTACCATTAATCCCCAGGTTGGTTGCTCACTCACTAGAGAAGGCTAAGATCTTCCTAGGGGAGGTACTGGACACCCTTTACCCAAAGTTTCATGGGCCTCGTGGGGATTATCATTAGCATTTTTATCCGGTCTCAGAAACATTACATTGTAAACTGAGGTTGGCTTTGGATTAGTTTGTGTTCTGATAATTCAAAGTGATGGCTAAGATACGAAGAGAGCTAGCCAGGAAGGGATCTAGTCCATGGCACCCACAATGTTGGATTTCACGGATCGATGAAATTTACCCCCAAATGAAAATTCAGTGACCCCCACAGAGTGGGCAGCTTTTGATTTAGCCTATTGGGACCATTAAAACAAAATGAAAAAGCTTGGCCCAAAAGTAAACCAACTTAATGTCCATCCATATCAGCTTCATGATGTAAAAGGAAGAGCATTTTAACATTTTAGGGGAAGACATTCTTTCAGACCACAGGAGCGCCTCTTGATGAAAAATAGTTGGCTGCGGGAAAAGATGTGACGTTATCTTTGTCACCGGGCTCTCATTCCTGTTAAAGATCTCCACCCCTCTCAAAAACGAAAAGTTCTGGTCTTCCTTGGAAAATCTGAGTGGATGTGGTGGTGGAATGGCGAGCGTGGGAAAGCGGAAAGGGCTTTTGCTCTGAGCCGCTGGCTTTTTGCAAAAAAGGCTCATGAGAACGTGTTACATGTTCTGATTTCAAAACCTATACCGTTCCAGTCATAGGGGCTGGCAGACTGTGGGTCAAAGCCAGTCACTGCCCATTCGGTAAATCATGATTTATCACCCCACAGCTCTGCCTGCTCATCCTCAGAGTCCATGGCTGCATCTGCACCACAACAGCAGAGCTGACTAGTTGCAAGAGAGACCTTGCAACTTATGAAGCCTCAAATATTTACCATCTGGTCCTTTATGGGAAAATTCACTCACTTCATTACACCATGATTCTTTTTGCTTTTTAACGTGCCTGTCTACAGAGGCATTATGTTCCCACATGATGGGACCATGCCAAGTAATTAGAGCCAAGGTTAAGATATTGTTAACGTTCCTGGTCGGTGTGGCTCAGTTGGTTGGAGCATAGTCCTGTGCGCTGAAGGGTCACAGGTGCGATTTCCAGTCAGGGCACCTGCACAAGTTGTGGGTTCGATCCCGGTCAGGGTGTATATGGGAGGCAACTGATCGATGTTTCTATCTCATATCGATGTTTCTCACTCTCTTTCTCCCTCTCCCTTCCTCTTTCTCTCTAAAGTCAATAAAAATATATCCTCAGGTGAGGGTTAAAAAAAGATATCGCTGACGAAGTTATATTAATCTACCCTGAAAGGCCGAGAATGCTTGCCTGTTTGGGGCCTTCTGCCCCTGCTTTCTAGTCTCTGAGTGACAGAGAGCAGCAGAGACAGGGTTAAGGGAACTCCAAGCATGATGCTGTTGGTGTGAGAAATTGTGTTCAGACACTTATGCCCTCCTCTGGCCCCAGGGATGCTCTGGTGCTTCTACCTGGTGCCTATGATGGCCCATCTTCCTCTTTCTTTCTGCACTGAGCTGTCTGGTTATCCAGCTATGCTTGTTATGTAGGTTCCAAAGGTTACAGAACTGAGATGGGTTAATGTTCTTGGGTGACAAGAACCCTGGATTAGAGATGAGGACATCTGGGTCCTAGGTTTGGCCCCATATGACCCCTTGGACACAGCACTTCACTGGGTTGTATTTCTCCTCCTTGGTGCAACAAAAAGATTAATCAGATGATCTCAAAGGTTTTCACCTTCAATGTGAACCTCACTGCTTACCAGCCCTCTGGAGCTAGTAGAGATGATGCATTAATTAGTGACTTTGACGAGAGGAAATATGGGGGGGAGGGGGAGGAAGTCTGTTTTCAGAAGTCCTCAACTGCATTATGCATTTTGGCTACTATTAGTTATTTCATGATTACTACGTATTGGTCGCCATGCCAAGCAATTTATGGATGAGATCTGATTGGCTTCTTGAATCCCTTTGTGAGGTAGTATTATTATTCCCATTTCGCAGATAAGGAACTGAGGGTCCCAGGTGGGACGCAGAGCCAAGATTCACACCCGCATTTGTCTCACTTTAGATTTCAAGCCCTTAATGCAACACTGCTTCGCGTTCCTGTCCATGTCCATGGGACAGCCTATGCCAGAGGTAGAATTTTCATTAGCGGGAGTGGAGGGATGGATGGTGGCAGACTTGTGGGGATGAGCGAGCAGATCAGAGCCCCGAGCAGCCCTCCCCCCCCACTTTTCTGTTGGGCGCTGCCCTGATGTTCCTGGTTGTTGATTGACTATAACGCCATGTGGATGATTCACTGCACGTTTGCTCCTAACCCCAAGGTCTTACCTCCTTTGAGGGGGAATTTTCCCGGGGGGGTTGGAATGGAGTCCTAGAAGAGAAGAAAGAAAAAAACAGTGTGAAGGTGATATTCCATGGCGATAACTCACCTTTTTATTTTTGCTTTAGATTGTCTTCAAAGTACTGTGCAATTTAGAATTCACATTCCACCTGACTCTTAAATGTTAAAAGACATATCCACTGACTTAGTTATAATGAATCTGCTCATGCATTTTTGTTCAACAACATGCCTATCAGAAAAGCAATTCAATTACTCTCCACATTTCACAGGTGAGGAACTGGGGGCTGAGAGAGATAAAATTAAAAGTCTATGGCAGCTCAGGGACCAGGATCTATAACTCAACTCGCAGTCCAGTGCTTTTCTTTTTTCCATCTCCACAGGTGTTATTCCCCCGCCACCCCCCCTTCGATCAACACAAGAACAATCGAGTAGAGTACATAAATACATGTGGGGTTTTTTCCATCTTTGATTCATCAAACAGTAAAAGTAGGTTGTAAACATACCTGGGAAGGTACATTTATTTATATCCCTCCTGTGGTTGGAAATTCTGAATTAATTGAATGTTTACATGTCAAGCATCGTGAGGACACCATAGATAATTAAACTGAGTCCCTGCCCTCTGGATTTATTCTAAGTTTAAAATTGAATCTAATATCCTAATATTTATAAACATATAACATAAATAAATGCAAATATATTATATATGTATATATTCACTGTATATTTTATATTGTTTATTCTATACTAAACATAAATATATACGTCAATATTGATACAGATAAGTAAGAGGTTGATAGAAACAGACTGTCCTCTGGAGGGGGGGCCCCCTGGCTGGGGGAAGGCAGGGGCTGAAAGGGAGGGCGTGTCGAGGAGCACTGAGCAAGGAGGCAAAGGGGCGGATGGGCACATCTCAGAACTTCTTCAGAGACTGATTTCCCCACACCTCGTCTCCCTCTCCTTCTCCCCACCTCAGCCATGGAGACACCCTTCAGGTGTCCTGCTGAGAGGAATGAAATGTCTTACTCATCTTTTGACCTGTCCAGGTTGGGATCTCTGTGGTTCATTGGATTGAAATATTAATAAAGACCTAGAGAGGTGTGAGCACTTACATAGATGAAAACACCTTCATCTAAACAAGAACTTGACAGCTGCCCATATCTTATTTTCTTAGTGTTTGGCACAAAAACCCAGGGCCATCTGGAGTTCCCCTTTTATTCTACCATTCCCCCAGGGACTCTGTCTTTTGCCTTCCCCTGAGCATTCTTTTCATGCTAAATGGGTCCCTTCTCCAACCCAAGTCGGTGGGAATGAGTCCTGGAAGTCTCCCGAAGGCAAAGCCCTAGCCCAGCACGGATCTGGAGATGGCAGAAGTCAGTATGAACTTTTGGGCTTCAGCTTTTCAGGGGAAAGAAAGTGAACTTGGCTTGGAGGGTCCTTCTCTCTTTGCCCTAATAGTCTATGATTTTATTGCTTTTGCAGAAAGCTCTTAACCTCAGTAACGATGCTGTTCATTTGTGGTCTCTCAATTATTCTTGCAGTTCATAGGAAACCCAGACATCACAAAATTCCCCTGCGTAGCCTTCTGTGAGACAGTAAATGGCATCTGAAAATTTAATTGGCGCCTCATTTACTGCCGAGCACGACCATCGATTAATGTGGTGTTCAAATGTACAAAGAAAATCGTAGATGTTCAGGTGTGGTACCAAGATCACTGAACTGGCAGGCCCTGCGAGAGGATGCCACGGCGGCCAGGCCAGGGGAGCCGCCCCAGGGCCCTGGCCGCTGGGAGCTCCCAGGGATCGTCGGTGCAGCACCTATTGAATCACCTCCTGGTGCGTTCCAGGCCCCAAGGTAGTCATTGGAGAAATCCTGCGGATTCGACGGCTTAGCTATTAAAGCAGTTATTGAAACTATACAAATAAATATGTCATTAGAATTTTAAGTTGTGGCAAGAACTAAAAGGGAAAAGAGTCTGACTGTTTCAGGATTGTACAGTAGTCCCTTCTTATCCAAGGGGGATACATCCCAAGCCTCCCGGTGGATGCCCGAAACCATGGATAATACTGAATCCTAAATGTACTATGTTTTTCCTGTACTTGCACAGCTTTTCACTTAAACCATAGCCACATTGCCAGCATCACTCCCTGTGGCTTTGGAGCCATTGTGAAGTGAAATAGGGGGACTTGAACACAAGCACTGCACCGAGATGCGATAACGTGGTCGTTGACCTGATCGCTCGGATGGTGACTAAATGACTAATAGGTGGGGAGTGATAGATCGTGGAGATGCTGGACAAGGGATGATTCACATCCTGGGCATGATGGAGGGGAATGAGTAGGATGTATTGAGATTTTTTATCGTTCTGCTCAGAATTGTTTATCTCTGGAATTTTCCATTAAATATTTTCGGATCACAGTTGACCATGGATAACTAAAACCACAGATGAGGAGGGAGACGGCTGTACCTCCCAGGCAGTGGTTAAAATGCAAATCCTGACTCGGCAGGTTTGGGTGGGGCCCGGGATCTGTATTTCCGACGAGCTCCCAAGTGATGCGGATGCTGATGGCCCACGGAACACATTTTGGGCAGCAAGGTGGTAAGAAGCAATGCCTGGGAGGAGGATCTCATTTATGTGGTCAGGGGAGGCCTCAGTCTTCAATTCAAGGGCTTTCTAGTTTCCTATCTTTAGACAGGAGATGTCAAAAACAAAGCATCTTTGTACAGAAGAGTCTCATGGCTTAAACATTTACCCGGGCCTCAGGGCATCCCACACAGGAGTATAACTATTCCTGTTTTGAAGAGCTCTTGGACAAAGTCTCCTAGTTCTCCTGGCTGCCCATGGTAGGCAAGGTCAGAGAATCAGAACCAGAGGGGGACCTAGGCATCTTTCAGTCCATCAAGCTAATTTTACACAAGAGGAAACTGAGACACTCATGAGTCAGTGGCAGATCTGAACTGAAGTTCTCTGGTGCTCTTTCCCCTTCCCAGGAGTAGTGGGTAGCTTTAGAAGCCAATGATAGGAAAGCTCATTCTTCCCTCATCTCCCCTCCCATTTGGAGATAAAAAACAAGGCATAAAGGAATGATCACTTATAAAATTTGCTGATGACTGCAGGTATCCTGGGCACTGTGCTAAGTGCTCTCCCTCAGTTTCTCTTTGGCAGGTGCCTCCCAGTCCTAGAACTCTCTCCCCCATCTTGCCTGGGGATCTGGGTCTTGGCCAGGAAAATGTGAACCATCCTGCTCAGTGACTTGGCTTTGAGGTGAAAAGTACATAGGCTCGACAGACAGAAGTCAGTGACCCTCCCAGACTGTCATCCTCAGCTCCTTTGGGTAGCTCAGGAAACATCATTTCCATGGTTACCAAACAGCTACACTTCCTTCAGGGTGCCTCTTTTGGTTCAGACTCTGGGTGTCTGATGGGTGTCTCCAACAATGTTTCTGTGCATGGAGGGGAGGAACTGTGACATTTAACCTGCTTGTCCAAGCAAAAATCACCCAATCCCAATCATCTTCTCTGCCTAGGACTCTGTTTTCTCATTTCCTTTAATCATTGTGATTCCAGGGCGAATCATCCTTCCCTCCACTGGGTTGCTGAAGACATAGTAAGCTGTTATATATATAAGTGTTAGTGCGTGCTTGAAAATGGTACCTATTTTGGCTAGTCTCTTGATCCTAGTGATGTGCTTAATTTGCCACAATACCTTGAAAGGCTCTTTCCTCTCACAGGGCCATGCTGTGCAGGTGTAATCAGTTCTCAAATTTGCTTTGACCGAAGGTGATTGAAATGGCCAAAGGGGATTCCATGTGCTCCTCCTTGCTGGCCCCGTGCTGTCTTGTAAGGTGGGCCACAGAGCTCTTTGCCGGGAATGCCTCTCTTATTTTCAAGTTAACATGATTAAGCACTTAATCCTCTGGGGCTAAATGCTTTACGTGCATTATTTTATTTGGTCTTTACCCCAAGAGTTAGTGACTAACCAAGACTTAGAGAAGGGACTTAATGATTACAAAAGGTCCCACAGATAGTAAATAGCTGGGAAAGGATTCAAACTCAGGCGTGTTGGCTTGGACGGCACGCCACGTTACCTTTCTAGGGTAGGAGCATTCAGCTGAGGCAGAAAATTCTCCTGACACTCTATGAGAAAGTGGATGGAGGTCGTAGAAAATCCCCAGGAGAAAGATGATTTTTTGGGGCAGCCTTCATCTTAATATGGTTAGTGAAAGCAGGAATTGGACTAGAGCGGCTCAAAGCAGGGGTCTTGTTGAAATGCCAATTCTGATTCAGCAGGTCTGAGGTGGGTTCTCAGGTTTTGCGTTTCTAATGAGCTTCCAGTGAGGTCAGTGCTGCCGAGCCTCTGACCACACTTTGAAGAGCAAGGGCTTAAAGACATCACTCAACAGGCAGTTAGGACACCTGAGGTCTTCTTTCCCCAAGGAATGGGGAATGGCTATAGGAGGCTGAGTGCAGAGCTAGGCTCAAATATGGGTTTAGGAGAACTTCTTCCTGGTCTGCTGATGAGGGTGGCATCCTATCCTCTCCCCTTCCTCCATCAACGCTGCTTGTCACCTAGGCCTGCTTCCCGCTGCTCCCCTGTGCAGCCTGGACTGACCGCTGTTCTGGCTCTGCCATTACTCTCCTCGCGCCTGGTCTTGCCTTCCTCTGGAACATACCTCTGCTCACTCTTTCCTCACCTGGAGTGCCCTGTCTCAATTCTATCTGCCACCATCCTTCCAATGGAGAGCTCTTCTCCAGTGAAGAATGCCAGCTGTTAAATGTGGAAGAAATGATAGAATTAGGCAACCATTTTTCTTCTATGCTCAGTGTCATAGCTGATTCAGGGAAGGGTCATCAAGGATTGCCAAAACCTGAGTAAAGGATATTCACATGTCTTCTATTATCTCATAGACTGCTTATTAAAAAGAAAGAAAAAAAGTGTTTTGCAAAAGAAATAGCCAGTGGTTACTACCTTAATCAAGTGACTGAACGTCATCACCAGTCATTGGACAACCTGACATATGTCTCTATCCATGCTCCCATAAGAAGTATTTATAAGATTACCTATGCACTATAATTGCCAAAAATGTTTCATCGCATATAATGAGTAAACACTAAGTCAAATCCAAAAGGTGAGCTATTCTGCAACTAAACTAGCTTAGACCCATCAAAAAGGTCAATGTCATGAAAACAAACAACCTAGGGCAAAGAACATGGTTAGATCGTTGCTTCCCAGACGTCACTGTGCATAGATCACCCGGGGACCTTGTTAAAATGCAGACTTTGATTCAGTAGGTCTAGAATGGGGCCTGAGATTCTGCATTTCTAATAAGCTTCCAGGGCCACCCTTTAAACAGCAACGTTCTAGGTTAACAGACATAACCAAATTGGGTGTGTGACCTGCGAATGGATTCTGGATCCCCAAACCAAACCAGGCCTGTAGAAGATATCTTTGGACAAGTGGGGAAGTTAAAATATGGACTCCATGTTATTATTAGATGATATTGCTGAACTAACAGTAGTTCTCTTGGCTATGATAATGTCCTTGCATTATGATAAATCACTTTTAGGAGATGGGGTGGAAATACATGTAGGTGAAAGGTCACACTGTCTGCAACTTACTTTCCTATACATAGAGAGAGCACAAATACGGCAAAATATTAACACAACAAATTTAAGTTATATGAGTAGCTACCATTCTAGTTCACCATAGGTTTGGACATTTTCAAAATAAAACTTTGGGCCTAAGATACGTGATCCTTCTAACCCTTGGAGGAGGCTCAGCTTGCATTCCAGCTCTTCTGTAAACCCTTCCCTCGCTCTAAGCAGAAATTGTCTTCCTCTCCCATGGCCTATGGCATTCTGTGCCATTCTGCCCGAAACTCAAGCCCTTGAATATTTGGGCTTCATCTCCCCAAACTGTTTTCTGAATTCCCAGAAAACAGAAGTCCTGCCCTGTTCACTTGGTCCTTGTGTCATGGCCCAGCACAGGGTTTGACCCTGAGATTGTCAGAGGATTTTTTTGACTGATAAATTGAGTGCACTGAAGAAAGTAACTTGGGTAGAGGGAAGCCTTACAGGGCATCTCAACTCACCTCTTTATGTTATTTGAACTTAAAAGTAAACCAGAAAAACGAGATCACCACCCCACTCACTGCCCTTAAACAGGCACTCAGCTCCGCTCTTGCTAATGATACACTATTTTAAAAGGGAATTTTTTTTTTGCTTACAAAGAAAGGAGGCAGCTGCTTTCTCCGTTTTCTATAAAGGGTCTTCTTGCAAACCTAGTGATCCTGAGCTTTTTGCTTTGCTCTAACCTTTTTGAAGGTAAATGGACCTCTCCAGGGGCTGGATCAGCCCAGCCTCCAGGTTTATGACAGATATGTCCCTGAGGCTGAAGAACTCAGAGTCCCTCCACAGGCCAACACTTCTAGGGTCAACCTCTCAGCCCACCTCCTTGTCTAACTAACTCAGTCTCTAGAGGAGATAGGAGAACTTTTATTAATTTTGCTTTTGTTTTGCTGTCTAAATTGTGTGCAATTTCATCCTGACAGACCTGTGTGCACTATGTTGTGCTAACGCAATAATAAATCACTTTTCTTTGCTCCCATGTTGAGGTGAAGAGGTGTCTCTTTGTTGGTGGTACTTTTACTTCCTCAAGAGCGTGTTGGTACAATCTCTTTGGAAGCTGATTGACAACATACACTGAAGTGAAAAATACACAGTCTATTCCCACCACTAGGAATTGATCCCCCAGATATACTCGCAGTTGTGAACACCGAGCACCATTCTAGGCCAGGTAAAATAAGTTATGAAGCAGTCAGACAACAGAATACTATGTGACTCCTCGAAAGAATAGGTGGGTTTCCATGAATTGGCATGGAAGGGTCTCCAAGCCATGCGGTCAAGTCAATCAAGTAAGGGGTAAAATTATGAATTTACTATAATCGCGTGTATATACTATATATTTGTAGCTATGCAGATTTTTGGAAGGACAGGGAAGAATCTATTAATGGTGTTTATCTCAGGAAAGAGAGATTGGTGGTTGGGTGGGGAGGGTGCAAGAGGTTTTTACTTTTTTTTCTTTTCCCTTGTTTCCTGCTTACTTCTCTTAAATAATTTGAATATAATATTTTATAATAAGTATACTGGTTTAAATGTAAACAAAACAAAGTACAACCACACAGACTTAGAGACATTACTAGACTACTGTTCCACAAGCAACACGAAAGCAGGATTTCTGTTGGCTTTTTCAAGACTGTATATTTCCCCATTGCTCCAAACAGTGTCCTGTACGCAGTAGGTGCTCAGTAAAAATGTGTAATTAGAACCTAAGTGCCTGCTTTTTCTTGCCCAAGGAGTTTGACCTTGGAGTTATTTGATCTTCAGAGCAAATCTCAAGGCAATTTGCGGGTTTTCCTACATGCCTCGCATCTTCTCTTCTCCATCCCTTTGCTCGTGTGGGTCTGTTGGCCAGGAGTGCCCTCTCCTTTGATCCCCCTTCTCCACCTGTTTGAAATTATACGCATCTCTCAAGCCAACCTGAAACTTCAATCTCCAGTGAAGTTTTTTTTAAACCTGCCCGGGAAAATGTTCTGTCTCCTTAATTTGGGGTCTCATGGTAGCCCTAAGTACCTACCTTCTGTCACTTAATATATATTATGACTTATTTTAATTTTGTTTGTACATGTGCCTTTTTATCTACAACTGAGGCTTCTTATGCCGGTAAAACCATTCTCATGATTCTCCACTCCTGCCCCCTTCTAGCCTCACAGAGTGCTATGTGGCCATCAACCCATCTCATTTTTAATAATTGGGATGTGAGTTTAAGTTCCTCGGGTATCTTCCATTGACTTTTTTTTTCTTTCTTTTAACCAGAAATCCTGTTAGAATCTATTTGTCTAAGTTATACTTGTCCTAAAGCCAGCCTGCATCCCCTCTTCCTGCAGCAAGCCTTCCCCGATAGCTTGAGCTCAAGGAGATTACCCTTCTTATGTCTTATAACAGCTAATATCTGAACAATTTATTGGAAATGACGTGTGCATAACACTTACTATCACAATGCTTTTAAGTGAGTAACTGATATTTCCCAGACTAAGAAATCACAGCATACCAAACCATACAATCACATCGTGAAATGAATCTTTTCATAGCCAAACATGAGGGCTCTATCAAAGAAAGGGTGCTCGAGAAGATAAAGCTCCCAGAGGAGACTGAGAACAATGCTCCTCAGCGCTCCTGTTCTCGTACTGGGAAAGGGAATGTTTTCTCATGAAACAATCAGCCGCTGACTCTACCGCTTTCTCAGGATGACTTGTTCAAGCCTTGACCTTTCCTGTTCCTCATTTCCCGTGTTGACAAAGACGAGGCAGATCCACGCCAGGTCCTTTATGAACGGAATCAATCCGACTAAAAGTGGGGTTTGGATAAGAACTGTTCTCCATTCTGGAGCTCACTCTAGCTTTCTATGTCACCATCAGCACCCCCACCACACCATCATCATCACCTTCATCATCATCATCATCTCTCTCTCTCTCTCTCGATTTATTTTCTTTGGCAATGGCTATAAAATGATACACCTCTGGTTTACAGCAAATTAAAATGACAGAAATTATAGAGCCTCTACCAAAAAAAGTGCCCTCGAATGCTTTCAAGAGTATTATTTTTAGTAGCTGTAGATAAGGCCATTCAATGATGAGTTTCATAAATTCTGCTACCGAAATCAAATACTAGCAATTCAGTTTCCTTTCACTTTTATGGAGGTATGAGACCCAAAGCTTCATTTAAATTTCAAAGCTTGAGGACGCTTGAGAAAAGATACCAAAGCCCTTTAAAGCCTGGTTCCTTTTAGCAACCCGCAAGTTATGGAGCATCCAGCCTAAGAGGACTGAAGGGAAACCAAGGCAGGTTCCGCGGGGTTGAAATACCAGGACAAATGGGAACCGTGAAGGAATCAACAGACACGCTCGCCCTTGGGCAGGGCGGGGAGAGGGGACAGTTGTTAAACTATCGAAATTAACAAAAACTTTGCTTAAAAAATCATCAACAATATCTACTTTCAGTACACTGCTTTTTAAAATACACCCTGGTGGATTCTCTGTAAACATCAATTTCTTAAAATAGGACAAAGCTTCCTCCTTGGGCTCTTCTGTTTTTGCAACCGAACTCACCTTTGCTTCAAACTGTCACTCTCCCGCGGCTGACTGTGCCGTGTCCCCATGGCTGCGCGTGGTGCTGGCATCCTGAGCCGTCCCAGAGGGAACAGGCCATCTGCCTCTGTGCTCTGTTTCTTGTGGCCCCCTGAGCTCTTCAAAGCAGTGACTTGGGAGGAAGCTTTCCTTGTGTCTCGTGGGCTTTAACGCCGAAACTCTCTTCTCCTTTGCCTGCTTCCCTTACAGCCCTTGGCCTGGGAAACTTGGTTCCCTGTTTACACAGAGCCCTTGGCAATGCGCAAGGACTCGGCAATCTCAGGAGCGTTTGGCCTGAGGCTGTAGACCCCGGGCATCTGGCCTGGAGACCTTGAAGATGTGATAGTAAGTCGTGCAAATAACACCACCGGTCTCCTTAGGTTTCCTTATCGCTCCCCTCCTTGACCGGAGCCTCTGGCTCCGCGGGTTTAAATCTTACTTTCTCAAAGCTGACAGCTCTCCTGCCCTCTTTTGGCTCATGGGGGTCTGGAAAGTTTTGAGACCATGGCTCAACACACTTTTCTCTCTAAAAGCCAAAATATTTCAGAGGGTTAAGTTCCTGTTTCTTTCCTCCCTTCCTCTGCATGACATACGGACTTTCTTTTTTTAACCTCTCTGCTAATTTATTAGTCTGCTCCCAAGGCTCTCTCTCCTTGGGGAAAACGGACCGTAAATCAGAAAGGAAAGGCGCGGAGAAGTCCACTTACCGTCTTCTGCACCACCAACACCATAATGGTCGCCACAGCAAAGACGAGACACAGAGCCAGCGTGGCCGTGGTGAAGTAGAAGTGACTGCGGCTGGTGGTTCCCAAGTGGCTGGCGACGGAGCCCGCTGGCTCGTGCATGGCTGTGTCGCGAGAAGGGGCCACTCGGCTGAGTGCCTGCCGCAGCCCGGGGCCCATTCTTATATAGCCTTCCCCGCATCACACCTTATCGCTCCTCATCTGATTCGGTTCTGGGCCCATCTCGGTTCCAAGAAGGATTCTCCCCTGCATCCTGGATCATGTGACTTGGAAAAAAACCTTCACCGGCTGCCTCTCGAAGAAACTCTTCTCTGGGGGCGTGAGGCGAAAGGCGGCGGCACGGGTGGGGGAGAGGCTCATTTTTCATCGCCAGGGATTGATTTGAGTGCAGAGAAACTGTAGCGACTCAGAAGGTGGCTGATGTCAGAGGGCGAGTAGGAAAATGATGGTTTCCCTGTTCTGGGGGG